TACTTGGTTGAATGAAGCCTTTCTCCAATAATTCCTGGAGTTGGGTCTTCAATTCTTTCAATTCCGTCATTGACATGCGGTAAGAGGCTTTTGATATTAGTTGTGTACCAGGTGAGTTTCAATGGTGAATTCGATTTCCCGGTCAACTGAGGTACCAGATAGGTCTTTAGGAAAGACATCCAGAAATTCTCAAACCACAGGGATTGCATCAAGTATGGGGGCCTCTTGTTGAGTATCGATCACATAACAGATATAACTACAACAACCTTTTCTTAGAAGTCATTGGGCTGTCATGAAGGATATAACACATGGAGGGGTGAAAATTCCAGTTCCATCAAAGACCAGCTTGAGCTGGTTTGGTAATCGGAGGGAGACCTTTTTAGCTTTGCAATCAATAAATGCGTGATTGGCAGGCAGCCAATCCATTCCTAAGATCACATCAAAGTTACTAATGCGGAGTAGAATCAAATCTACGTATAAGGTTTCACCTTTTAAGGATATAGTGCCAGGGAAAAATTACCAAAAGGAAAAGACACAGACAATATATATCCTAAGGGTTCGGGGGTTGATACTAACTTGGAAGCAAAGTGTGGTGTAACAAAAGAAGTTGAACCAGAGTCAATAAGGACATGAGCTAAATGACCACAAACAAAAACGTGTACCTAACACAACGTTCTCGGTAACCTCTAGGTTTCCAGGCATCAAAGTAAAAGCTCTTCCTTGGCATTTTCGGTCCTTCCTCACTCCTGCAGGTACTGTGAGTTTTGGGGCTGGTTCAGAGGGGCCTGCTATAGGATTGGTAAACTTTGGACAATCTCTCAACAAGTGACTAGTTTGTTCACATTTAAAGCATGCTCCCGTATCTCGATGGACATCGTCCCCAATGAGTTATTCCACAAGTAGGGTAAGTTGGAATGGTGCCACCTCTGGGATTAGTAGGACCTTGATTGTCTGCACTAGTTGAGCTCGTATTTACCTTCTTTGGAGGTGCAGCACTAAACCTTCTTTCGTCTTTTTTCCAGAATCGCTTCTTTTGGCCCGTTTTCCAAGAACGCGAGGCCTTAATCCTTTTTTCCGCGATATAAGCTCGATCCACCACTTTTGCATAGGTTGGCATTTTCAGAACCTCAATCTTGTTTCTGATGTCATCATCTAAGCCGACTTCGAACTTGCTAGCTTTTTGGGCTTCGGTAGGAATGACATATGTTCCAAATCGAGCCAGTTGCGTGAACTTGCTCTCGTATACAACCACTGTCATTGTTCCTTGCTTTAGGTGTAGGAATTCTGATGTTGTTTATTCTCGTAACGAATTTGGAAAGTATTTTTCGTAAAAGACTTCTAGGAATCTTACCCAGGTCACAATTTCTTCCTTTTCTAGGGTAAAAAGCCACCATTCCTGTGCCTCGTCTTTGAAGGTGAATGCGGCGAAGGCTACCTTCTGTCTTTCTGTACAAGGTAGTGCGCGAAAAATCTTCTCCATATCCCTAACCCAAGCTTCTGCTACCAGTGGGTTTGGACTGCTGGTAAATGTGGTGGGTTTCAAATAATGGAACTATTTTATCATAACTGGTTCTTCTCACCGTTCGGGTCTTCCATTATTCATGTTGGTTTGCAAGGCCCTCAGAAAACTAGTAATTGCTCGTTCCATGATTTGCTCCATTGGGTCAGCACCACTAACCGACGATCTGGTTTCATTTCCATCCTTGGCCATACTACAGGGTGAAAACGATTAGTGGACTAGGCCAAATTATTACGTACTTAGTCATCGCTATATTACATCTACATCAATGATTCACAAAGATACTATAACAACACATATATAATTTACATAACACCCATCCTACATAAGGTGTTAGTACAACATACTTATATAGCAATCAGGAGTTAGTGTCTAATCCCAATAATACAAAAATAAGGATCAGACTAATCATGGTTAGTTCCCAAAAATTTCCTGGTCGAGCATCTTAATGGACCGTTAGGCAACCACGAAAACTGGGCCATGGAATAGCCCTGCAAACTCACTTTGCATGAGGGACTCAAACTCCCAGCCATTATGCTCTATCCCAAAAGAACACCATACAACCTAGACTATATAGGTAGGAATACCGTGATCATATCCCTAGAACTCTCGTCTAGTAATCCGTATAGGTACCTCCAAGTATGTCATGCTATTAGTGAAATCCACAGCTGGGACATGGATAACGTGCTATGGGGGAGGTGTCGTCGTGCGTATGTAGCTGCTAGGGTACACGTGCCCTCTCCTCTTAGCAAAACCCAGGGGCAAAGGTGCAACCAAATAGTGCGAAGGTCCTAGATCTAGAGCAAGACTAACAACGTGGATCGGTCCAATGTATCTCTCGCCTGTGTTGCCACGGCTAAGTCTCCAAAATCAGAAATCCTCATCAAGGTCAGCCTATAAGTATACGGGTCTCCCCATAAGCCGATCAAGTCCTGGGTGAGCTTGTCTAACAAGACTCTCTGAATCTCCCCACCCCTCTAGTAGATTCAGGACAAGATGGGCTCCCGAGGGTTTGAACCATAATAACTGTACTAGATTTTCCATTCCCTACAACATAGGAAAACTTAACCTAAAACGGTTTAATCGTGTTAAACAAACTAAGGTGTTTTTTTTATTTTATCTTTTTTAGGCTCTGATACTACTTTGTCACGACCCAAACCTAGTACCCAAAGGTTTGGCGTCGCAACAAGACAATAAAAGTAAAATAATTCTAAAATTTCTGTATTTAGAGTAGTTGTTTATTTATACTTGGGCCCAATTACTAAAGTAATTACATCACTAGTTTTCTTTGTTTTTCCTACGCAATGACCCCAAATGTAAATTAAATTACACTTTATCACGTACCATTATAAAAATATTATTATTATTACCGTGATTGGTTGTGGTATTAATTACATATTTAGGGTGTCACAATCTCTAGTCGTCATTTCTAGTCACTGACGACCACGTCTGGCAGTCGTCTCCGACCGTCAGAGACATTCACACTCATTCAGTTATTTAGTCACAAAAATACACCTACACATTTGCGCACGTGCACACACACACACAAAAAAAAAAGGTTGAAAAAAATGTAAGACTGATGAATTTATCACTGTAACTTTATTCACTAATAGATGGATTTAGATTTTTATAGACAACAGATATGTTTTAACCAAATCTTTACCAATAGAATGATGGAGATCCATCACGATGTAGAGATATATATATATATAGAGAGAGAGAGAGAGGGAGAGAGAGAGAGAGAGAGACTTTTAATTACTTAAACCACAACCCAGCATCACTCCTTCAAGTCAAGACCATGTCCCTAATCCTTAAACCATAACCTAACATCTTAATTCAATGACGAGTTACACCTCCTATCCAAGAAAAAAATGGATTCCACTATGAACAAAGAAAACAAATGCTCCAAAGAGATACAATGGTGATGAAAGAAATACTAAAAATAACTGAAATCACAAGTTCTCTCAATCTCTCGTCAAACCCAAGTTGTATTCCAACATATGAATTATGGGAAAACCCACCCAAATTTGTAGTAGAGAAATCTTACCCAAGATAATTAAACCCAAACCCAACTAGAATAGGATTCTAGTTCCCAAATTAATTTGATTTCCTTATAATCCAATCTAAAATTAATAAGGAAACATCTAAACCAAGTCAAATAAGTATTCTTACAATCCTAGTCAATAGGAAAAGAACACTTCAAATCAAACCAATTTGGGAGTGGATAATGAGCCGAAATTCAAGTGTGGATGGAAAGGAACCTTGTATACATTATGAGATGCACGGAATTCTGCATTAGTTAAATCTCTGAATCGATTCAAAGCACTTTTGAATGATTCTATGAGCTCTACATGGTCCTGGAATATCTTAAAATCCGTTTCTTTCTTGTATACATTATGAGATGCACGGAATTCTGCATTAGTTAAATCTCTGAATCGATTCAAAGCACTTTTGAATGATTCTATGAGCTCTACATGGTCCTGGAATATCTTACAATCCGTTTCTTTCTCTGCATTAGTTAAATCTCTGAATCGATTCAAGGCACTTTTGAATGATTCTGTGAGCTCTACATGGTCGTGGAATATCTTAAAATCCCTTTCTTTCTCTGCATTATCCTCGTACACCCATCCATAATGAGCCATCAGTTGCTCACGTTTCTTAACCATGGAAGCTTCATGCAATGTGTCGGACATAGCTTGAGAAGCTCAAATCCTTAAAATTGTCAAGCTGGCAGTATCACATTTTTTACAAGCATTAGAGCCACTGATTTATGGATATTTGAGTTTTTTTTAAGCTGTAAGGACCACACTTAAATGCTCGAGAGAATTGAGTACATGTATAACACGCATCTTCCATTATGATGTGAATTCTTAGTTTTTCCTTTTTTCTTTTTCTTTTTTCCCTTCCTGAATGTAATGTGCAAGTACCCTTAATTCCTCTAATTGTTGTTTAGTATAAATATTTTACTTTATCATGAAAGTTTCTAATATTGCATATTAATTTGTGTAAGTTACCTTGTAAGTTTCTCTTATACGCGACACCAGGCGACTTGGGTTTCATTAACCCAACAAGAACACTTTTGGGTCCCTTGACTTATCAATCAAAAAAAGTTCTCTTATAGATTTCTATCTTATTTCATACCACTTATAGCTTCCCGATTTCATTGATATTTTTTGAACCACATTTGATGCTCCCATTCTAGTATTTCTACTTTCCCTTTAGGCAACTATGGTTTTAATGTATAGCATTTAGCATTCTACTTTTGACTTGTGAACCACATTTGATGCTCCCATTCTGGTATTTCTACTTTCCCTTAAGGCCACTATGGATTTAACGTATAGCATTTAGCAATCTACTTTTTCCAAGTCAAGGATCGAGTTGGGGACACCATTTAGAAAACATTGTTAATCCACTGGGGTGGTAAGACTTCAATTTTACCATAAGAAAGCAAATATGGGAAGGTACAATGATTACAGAGGAATAAACCAAAAGTACATTGCAGTTTCGTTAATAAAGTTTAATATTTTAGATACTGCTTGAATCACACAGATTTACAGGACAAGAAAAAGTAACATACCACATGTATAGGTATATAACAATATGCTGAGACCAAAGTGCAAGTACATTGCAGTTTCGTTAATAAAGTTTAATATTTTAGATACTGCTTGAATCACACAGATTTACAGGACAAGAAAAAGTAGCATACCACATGTATAGGTATATAACAATATGCTGAGACCAAAGCGCAAACTCAAGATGAAGATTCATCCTTTGTTTGCTGCTTCTAGGTTCTAAGCTGTAGGATAGGAAGAATCCATGGCAATGCCACAGAGGCCCTCCTTAGCAGCAACGTTTCTTTGCATTCTAATGTATCCCTCTTCACCCCAGCTAGTACCCCATGAATTCTTCACTAACCAATACTTGGTGCCATCAGCGGTTGTCCCGTATCCAACTGCAGTGACACCATGATCTAGATCAGTCCCACAATCTCCTGTGAAAATCCCGTTTGAATAAAACTGGAAGGAAGCTCCACCGGCATCAATAGAAACTGAAATGGGTTGGTTAGCCACAGCCTTCAATAGTGCACTCTCACTGTTGGCAGGCACATTTTCATAGCCACTAATCTTTGCTGCATGGGAAGCTTCCTTTTTAGTGTTGCAAGTTCCATCAGTTGCTGAGTATGGATAAATTGTTTCAGTGGCAATGCCTTTGTTTTGTACAATAAATGCAAAGCCACCCTCCATGTAACCACCCTCACAGCCTGCATCTTTACCACTCCTGTCACAGTCCACCAGTTCTTGCTCCGATAGTGAGATCAACTTACCAGTTGTGAGTTGAGTGATCCCTTCAGTGGCAGCTATTGTTGAAAATGCCCAACAACTTCCTATTGATCAAACACAAGAAGTTAGAGAATAAATAAATAAATAAATAAAACATGAATTTGATAGTAGCAGTTAATTACTAGGTGAGTTTGAGAAAAATGGATTGCCTTACTTACCACATTGACCCTGATCCTTAATGGGAGTGACAGCTCCCTTCTTCCTCCAGTCCATGCTAGTTGGCACTGCAGTCACGTTTTCATACCTAAATGGTGTTGTTTTGGATAGCCTTGGGTCGGATGGGATCTTGTATCCATTACGAGATGCCTGGAACTCTTCATTAGTTAAATCTGCGAATTGATTTATGCTCATTTTGTAAGGTCGATTCCCGGCACTGTTGAAAGATTCTATAAATTGCACATTGTCGTTGAATATCTTAAAGCGCATCTCTTTCTCTGCATCGTCCTGGTAGACACGCCCGTGATCGACCATCCATTGCTCATGTCTCTCAGACATGGATGCTTCATGTAGTGTGCGGGACATGGCTTGCGAAGCCCAAAGCCCCAAAACTAACAAGGTTGAGAGGATAAATTTTCTTTCTAGTTTCAAAGCCATTTTCAAGATGCTTTGAAAAGGCTATGTGAATTGGTGGATATTCTTAAATCCTGGTGAGTTAAGGTTTATATAGACATGATATGCTTCCTTGATGATCTGCCTCTAGAATTACAATTCTGGCTAAGGAAAGGTCTAAGTCCCCAGTTTCCCCGGCAAATTGTGATGACATGGACAACCAAAGCTCAGTACCGTGAACGCAGCTTGATGGAATGTAAGATTTTTTTACGCTCCGTGTTTGTCGGGACAGAAAACATTTTCAAATGGAAAATATTTTTTACGGAACTTTTTTTCAAGAAAATGTTTTCTGGAGAAAATATTTTTCTATATTTGGTGGTGGTGGTGGTAAAACAAAGGTGGAGGTGGAGGTGGTAGAGATGATGGCATGGTGGTGGAGCGGCGGTAGTAGAGATAGCGACAGTAATGGTGGCAGTGGCCTGGTGATGGTGGTATGATAGTGGAGGTGAGAGTGGTGATAGTAGTATGATAATATTGGTAAGATTTTAGTTTAGAAAACATTTTTAGCCTTTTAAAAGTAGAAAACATTTTCTATCTGTATAAACTTGTTTTTTTGTTGATCAGAGAGAATGTTTTCTGTTGACTTTCATTTTCTATTATACCAAACATCAAAATATATTTTAAAAAAAATATTTTTCAGAAAATAGTTGTCACCCAAACAGACAGAGCGTAATGTCACTTTAAAGTTTATAAACCAATTAAGGCTTCATTTGGAAACAGGCTAATTTAGTAACTTTTTGATTATTTAGCTAAAATATGAGCTAAAAAAACTAGTCTGTTTGGAATGACTTTTTGACTTTTTACGAAAAGATATACAAAAAGTAGAGAAAAAAGAGAATATTTGACTTTTTGGTATGGGTTGTTGGCTTTTTGATTTTTTTAGTAATGTTTTGACTTTTTGACTAAAATAATCGCTTGCCAAACGAGGCCTAAGGTTGTGCCAATTTTGGTGTCTCTAATGCAACGTAAGAAGGTACACTCTCTTATCAATTAAATAAACACAAACTGCTTTTGTCTTTCTCTTTTTGGTTCTTAAATATGAAATTCATTTAGTTAGTTGTATATGATGGATTTTCTTGTGTTCGTAGCTGTGACACACAGCAGCAATTTCATTTTTCTTTCTTTCTTGGACATGTTTTGACATGAACAGTTGTTGGCTATGGAACCCGTTTCAACCGGTTTTGACCGTTTCAACCAGTTTTGAACTTGCAGGGCAATGAATGATACAGGTGGCAATTTTATTACGTTATGTTTGGATCTTGAATTTGGATAGAAATTTGATCCTAAAAAAAAAAAAAGCTTATATTTCATTTGAATTTTCTTACATTTTCCCCAACTTTTTTTTTTTTTTGCATTTCTTTTGAATTTTTTTTTTCCCTTTTAAAATTCCTACTCAAATCCATTATCCAAGCATTGCATTAGGATGCAACAAGATGGTGATGTCAAGAGAGGTCTTTGTGGTATTGCTGTGAAACCCTTCTCCCTATTGCGTGGTTAGATGGATAACAAGTTAACAACCAATAAAGAAGCTATATTGCTCATCCTCTGCAGTGCAATCTATAGTAATTTGAATGATAACACACTATGTCAAAAAAACAAAGAAAAAAAAAAGATGAATTAGGTTGAGTTAAAAACGTCATCATTTTGTGATTTTCATTCAGACTTCAGTTGAAAACCTGAATAAAGATATAGAGGTGATTTAGGATGATCCAAATAAATATATTTTTTAACTTTTTATGAAATATGGGTTAGGTATGAATTGCGTTTGAACTGACGTGATAAAGAGGTGATGTGACTTAAATAAGATGATGTGACATAAATAAAATAATAACTTTTTGACTTTTTTAACTTATGACAAACAAAGTCATAAAAATGATGAGTTTTGTACTCTACTCATTTTTTTTAAAGGCTTTGATAGAGGCTCCCTCCAATCACCACTCCCATTACCCTCCACACACAGTGGTGATTAGAAAAAATAAATAAATAAATCTGACCAATGGGAGAGAGAGGGGGTCAAGGGGGTAGGGGGAAAAGCAGTCCCGATTGAGACCTCTAATTTAGCTGCTCTAAACAGGTGGCAAGGTCAAAAAAAAAAAACACAATCAAGGCATAGAAACATTGTGGCAGTGGGTGGGACCTACTGCCACATCATTAGTGATAACTCTAATTAGAATTTCCAAGCATTTTTTAGGGGAAAAGGGGGTCGAATCTTTTTCCTTTTTTCAAAGCACTATAAAGTGCACGGCAGATGATTCGAATTCCAAAAATTTCAAAGAGACTTTTCTTTCTTCTTCTAGTTTTATAATGTATTACATTTCATAATGCTGCTATATATTGTCAAAATTAAAAATTAATAGTTTATAATTATTACATCATTATAAGTTTTTAATTTTTTTTTTTTTTTACTGTTTTCCAATTTAAAATAAAATTTTGTTGATTTAATTTTTCACCACCATTGATCATTAAATTGACATCTCCCATACCATCCATGTTGTTAAGCATTATATGCATACATGTTGGAATTTTTATTTTTTTTAGATCAACAAAAAAACTTTATTGATGAAAAGAGTAGGAGATATGCAAACTTATATCAACAAAGTAGGGAAGTGCACGGAATATCATAGTTAACCTCAACAATTCCAATTAGGTTGGCACCGCCAAGGAAACACAATCATTTGCTAGCACTTAACTCAAGATTGGTGAGAATTCAATCAAAAACAACCAAAGAAAACAGAAACAAAATCTTTCACCCATCAGCAACATTACAACACTACAGCAACAGCAACAAGGTCCTGATCTACTGAAGAAGCTTGAAGTCCTTCAAAATCTTTCACCCACAAAGCATTCCTTATCTTGATTGCAGAGTATATACCAAAGGCAGAGGCACAACAACCATACAGCAGCCTTAATGGAGGACAGATACAGAGGGACAACAAACAATACACAACCAATACTCAAAACCACTCCCCTGTGACACAGACCTCAATCAGCCAAAAAAACAAACAGCACCAGATCAGCAGCTGGCTACATTACAGCAGCAGGTGCACAGCAGATTTGTCACCCCAACAGCAGAATGTTCAAACTCTGTGATGTTTAACAAAATACCACCACCTAATATATCCAAATAGAACTAATATAAACCCGACTGCAATTTTCAACTTCCTGAACCAATACCATCAACAGAGGCACAACAAAAAACAATCAGCACTAGATTTACATTGTCAAAATTAAAATTAATAGTTTATAATTATTACATCATTGTAAGTTTTTAATTTTTTTTTTTTTTACTGTTTTCCAATTTAAAATAAAATTTTGTTGATTTAATTTTTCACCACCATTGATCATTAAATTGACATCTCCCATACCATCCATGTTGTTAAGCATTATATGCGTACATGTCGGAATTTTTATTTTTTTTAGATCAACAAAAAAACTTTATTGATGAAAAGAGTAGGAGAACAAAGTAGGGAAGTGCACAGAACATCATAGTTAATCTTAACAATTCCAATTAGGTTGGCACCGCCAAGGAAACACAATTATTTGCTAGCACTTAACTCAAGATTGGTGAGAATCCAATCAAAAACAACCAAAGAAAACAGAAACAAAATCTTTCACCCATCAGCAACATTACAACACTACAGCAGCAGCAACAAGGTCCTGATCTACTGAAGAAGCTTGAAGTCCTTCAAAATCTTTCACCCACAAAGCATTCCTTATCTTGATTGCAGAGTATATACCAAAGGCAGAGGCACAACAACCATACAGCAGCCTTAATGGAGGACAGATACAGAGGGACAACAAACAATACACACAATCAATACTCAAAACCACTCCCCTGTGACACAGACCTCAATCGGCCAAAAAACAAACAGCACCAGATCAGCAGCTGGCCACATTACAGCAGCAGGTGCACAGCAGATTTGTCACCCCAACAGCAGAATGTTCAAACTCTGTGATGTTTAACAAAATACCACCACCTAATATATCCAAATAGAACTAATATAAACCCGACTGCAATTTTCAACTTCCTGAACCAATACCATCAACAGAGGCACAACAAAAAACAATCAGCACTAGATTACACAGACCCCAATCAGCAAAAAACGAACAGCACCAGATTACTGCTGCAGGTGCATAGTAGATTTGTCACCCCAACAACAGAAAGTTCAAACTCTCTGCCAATAATTCAAATAGAACTGATTTAAACCCCACTGCAATGTTCAACTTCCTGAACCAATAGAGTGTCTCACCTGCTGCAGATTATCCACAAAATCATGAAGAGAATAAAACTTACCTAAAGAGTGGTTCTTCATCCATATTGCTACCCTTATCTTGATAAGATCAGCCAATTCCATACATGCTGGTTGAGCATCGTTGAAAATTATGTCATTTCTATGCTTCCAGATTGACCACAAAACTGCGCATGGCAAAGCTTTCCAAATCTGCAATTCACCCTTCTTGAATTTCCATCCATTCCACCAATCTAGCAATCTTACAATGGATTCAGAGGATACCCATTGGCACCCCCACCAGTTAAGTATCTCAATCCATTTTTTCCAAACAAAAGGACAATTAAGCATTATATGATCCACTATTTCTGGTTCAGACTTAGAAAAGACACAGGCTACATCTACACCATCATGTAGGATACCAAGCTCTGAAGTCACACTGAGGTTTTTAACCTACCCTTCCAAACCAGCCAAGTGAAGAACTGTGCCATTGGAGGGGTCTGATTATTCCAAATAAGGGTAGGCAAGACTAAATCTGGACCCCAAAGTGATTCACACCAGTTGACCACTGATTTGATTGTGAGCATCCCAGAGTTATCAGCTTTCCAACTGAGTGAGTCCTCTGCTCTAGAGTTATCAGCTTTCATACATGTTGGAATTTTGGTGTCCCATGGATCATCATAAATTATTATTATTTTTATTTATTTATTTTCAGGTTATGGCGTTGCAATTCCATTTATATAAAATAACCATTTTCATTGTTGCCTTGTGCGTTCATTATAGTTATGACATGTTAAAAAA